GCGATGCAAAGACTGGACTGGAAACTCCTCAAAGGTAGATGTTGGCAAGCCTTTCGTCATTGTATCCGCGAATTGTTGGGTCGTGGGAACGTGAAGAACTCGAACCTTCCCAAGAGCCATGTGTTCGCGAACAAAATGAATATCCAGCTTGATGTTCTTGGTTCGACGGTGATGGACTGGATTGGCGGAGAGGTAGACGGCGGAGACGTTATCGCAATAGACGGTGGCTTTGTGGATGGGATGACAAAGCTCATGGAGAAGCTGTCGAAGCCATGTACACTAAACAACGGCGTTGGCCACGCCACGATACTCTGCCTCAGCATTGGATCGCGAAACCGTCGGCCTTCGCTTGGACGACCACGATGTGAAGGTCCAAGAAACACACAGTATCCAGACGTAGAGCGGCGAGTGTCGGGACAGCCAACCCAATCAGCATCCTAGTAAGCAACGATGTCGATGGAAGGCGACACACGCAAGGTGATGCCAAGGTCTATGTGACCACAGATGTACCGGAGAATCCACCTCACTAAGGACCAATGAGCACCGCGAGGAGCGTGCATATGAAGGCACACCTGCTGATGCACTGCAACTCGGGACGAGTGAGCATCAAGTACTGCAAGGCACCAACAATGAACCTGTAGTAGGAGGCATTTGGGCTAGAGATCCGTCAGTGGTGGAGAGCTTGGCCTTTATATACACCGGTGTGGCCGTGGGCTTGCAATTAAGCATGCCAACACAGTCAAGTAACTCATGAACGTACTTCTGTCGATGGAGGAAGAAGCATGGATTATGAGTCCTAGGACTAGTCTATGAGTCTCAATTCCAAGGCCGACTACACTTCAGTGTCGACTAGTCTATGAGTCGTAACTTCGCTATCGACTAGTGTCGATTAGTCACGCTTAGTCTATGAGTCTCAACCTCGGAACGACTCGTCGACTTGTAAACCTTGGGAAGAAGCCGTCCGGATGACGTACCACCTCGATGCCAAGGAAGTAGTGGAGTGGCCCCAAGTCCTTGATGGCAAACTCGACGCAAAGACGTTCAGTGAGCCGGCGAAGAAGATCGGTGGTGTAGGCTGTTTGGATGATGTCATCGACATAGAGGAGCAGGTAGGTGGTTGCAGCGCCTGGTTGTGTACAAACAATGAGGCATCCGAGCGAGTGGAGCGAAACCTGAGCTGATGAAGAAAGGCCGCGATGCGCTGGTACAAGGCACACGACGCCTGTTTGAGCCCATACAAGGAGCGCGAGAACAAGCAGATGTGGTCGGGATGCGTGTCGTCGACAAAGCCGGTGGGCTGCTGGCAGTACACATGTTCATCAAGATGTCCATGAAGAAAGTCGTTAGAAACGTCCATCTGGTGAACTGGCCATGCTCGAGACACCCCGAGCTGGAGGACGGTGCGAATCGTGCCTGGTTTTACAACCGGAGGGAAGGTGTCGGTGAAGTCAACGCCCGCATGCTGCCTGAAGCCTCGCACCACCCAACGAGCCTTATAAGCTCGAGCGTGCCATCGGGGCGGAGCTTATGACGTAACACTCACTTCCCGCTAATGACATCGGCATGTGTGGGATGAGGGACAAGCTTCCACGTCTGGTTCCACAATAAGGCGTCGAACTCCTCCAACATATCTGCAAGCCACTTAGGATCGCGGAGAGCGACACATGCTGAGGTAGGAAGCGGCGACAATGCGGAAGTCGATGCAGTGCAGACATACTCATTGTCGGGATAATGCCGGCTCGGCCTAGTGATACCCGCACGAGCATGAGTTATCACAGGAGCCGGAGGTGGCGGTGCAGCATCTGTCGATGAAGGCGCCGAAGAGCCAACCGAGTCAACCGTACCGGACGCGGCCGAGCCGGGGCCAGTCGAGCCTGCGGCGATGGCAGACGGTTTGGGCACTGCGTTGGCAGCTTGAGAAGGCGCGGTCGGGGTTGAGGCTGCCATAGCAGACTCGGACACCATAGGGCCATGGGCCTGGCGAGCATTGGCGTGCCAGTAGCTGAGCCGGTCGAACAGAGAGCTGGCGAGGTCCCGTCGGTGATGTCCACATCTGATGACATGCTGAAACGGAAAATACCTTTCATCAAAGTGAACATGTCATGAGGTGATCACACGATGAGAGACCGAATCGTAGCAGTGATATCCCTTTGTGTTAGCCGGATAACCAAGGATTATGCAGGCGAGAGACCGGGGAGCCAACTTATGATGTGTAGTAGAAGCAATACTAGGATAGCAAAGGCATCTGAAGACCCGTAACTCATCATATGAAGGTGGTGAACTGAAGAGGAGGTGGGGCGGCGCATAGTTCCAACGAACACAACGTGGGCGAATGTTGAGTAGCAAAGATGCTGTGGCGAGGGCGTCGGGCCAAAACCGAGCAGGGATATTAACATGAAATAGAAGAGTGCGGACGCAATCATTGAGAGTTGGTAGGATGCATTCGGCACGACCGTTTTGTTGCGAAGTGTATGGACACGTGAGACGGAAAATGGTGCCATGGGAGCTAAGAAGCGTGCGAATGGCGAGGTTGTCGAATTCCTTTTCGTTGTCAGTTTGGATAGCACGGATGGAGCGACCAAACTGGGTGGACACAAGGAGTAGAACGCAACGAGGGAGCGTGCAACATCAGACTTATGGCGTCAAGGAAATGTCCACACATAGTGAGAAAAATCATCCAAGTCACAAGATAGTATAGGTAGCCAATATTACTTGAGATAGGTGAGGTCCAAACATCACTATGAATTAACTGGAAAGGAAACAAAGCTATGGTGGATGACGAGCTAAACGGAAGCCGAACATGTTTACCCACACGACAAGCATGACACGTGTGAGCATCGGTTTTATTACATGAAAAGGAAAATCCCTTAAGGAGATGACTAAGTGCAGCGGAGCTGGGATGACCAAGACGGGCACGCCAATGATCAATGCTGACAGAGAGGGCGATTGGAGCGTGGTAGAGGATGACAACTGGGCAGGGTAGAGATCACCAGGGTTGTCATATCGGTGTAGAACCATCCGGGTTCGGGCATCCTTAACAGAAAAACTGAATTCGTCAAATTCAACAGTGACATGGTTGTGGAGAAATGATAATGTTGTTAAGAGACAATGACAATGTTTTTAATAAAGTGTGGAGAAATGACAATGTTGTTAAGAGACAATGAAGTGGATGATGATGGAAAGGAAGTACAACCAATATGTGTAATAGGAAGAGAAGACCCCGACAATGATACGGGCGGAGGTGACGGTGGGTCTGGAAGTGATGAGATTACCAGGGTTAGGCTCCATGTGAGAGGTAGCTCCGGAGTCCATGAACTAATCACCACCACTGTCATAGTTGGTCGGAGTAAGAGCCGTTTGCAGGGCAGTGAGGAGCATCGGTTCCCATGGTGGGACGACAGTTGTGGCGGTGGAGCAGGGTAGCCATCGAACTGGCACGGCGAAAAACGCCCGAGGCCCCCGTCCGACGGGGGCCTAGAAGGCCGGGAGTCAGCACGGGCATGGACAACCCCTGTCCAAGGGTTGTACCCGCCGCTCCACCACGGTGTAGGCTGCGACTGGGGCACCTGGCAGGGTGGCGCGGTCGTGTTGGTGCACGGTTGGCACGGCTGGTCATTCCTCAAAAGTTGGAGGAGTGAGAAGCGTGAAGGTTGGGACTAGGGTTAGGGCGGCTGCGGAGGGAGGAGGGAGGCAGCGGCGGCGGTAGGGTTGGAAGGTGGAGGCGGCAGCGGCCGAAGATGGCAGCGACAGCGGCGTTGGGTAGGGGGTGGAGAGGAGGAAAGCGTCAGCAGCTGGAGGTGAAGGGAGAGAATCGAGAGGTAGGCTGATACCATGTAGAATAGGATTTGATGCATGACAATTGTATTCACATCATGGGGTGCCCATATATAGCACATATGTGGGTAGTTCCGTCCACTGCTATGACCCTAAATTACAGATTATAGACTTGGGAAACAAGCGGGACAACTACACCTAATACATGTACGTGTACACTTGGGACACGCACAATTATCTCTCAACAATCATCAAACTGTGCTAGTGACTTGCTAGCTAGTATTTCTCATGTTACTCTATTGACTATGCCAATTTGATCTGCTATGTTTTTTTCCATTTTTAGGTATGTCTTGACTGCACTATATCTTGTTGCAATTCAGTATTATACAAGGATTGGTGGAAAGGTGTCTGTCATTCTAATAAAGTATGAAAACAACCAAGGAGAACAGTCTAGTGCTGATAGTTTGATTTATAAGGTAAACATTATGACACAACAAAGCTGGTTCATGCTTTAAGTTAAGCTTCTTACTCCTTGTGCATGTGCAGGTTTTCGGTCTATACTTTATGCAATCATATATTGGGTTATTTTACCATGCATCCCTTTATCGTGATATTTTGACACTCCGGAAAGTCCTTATTCAACGTCTAGTCGTGTCTCAGGTATTTGCACTCTGCAATGCAAGTACACCCTCTGTTCTTAAATGTAGGTTTCATTATCGGGTATGATGATGCCGTACACTATGATGATATATTTAAATTTCTAGGTGTTGGAAAACCTGATTGAGAATTCTATTCCTTATCTCAAATACAGCTACAAGAAGTACAGTGCTGTTCAGTAAGTTTTGTTGCCTGTATAGTCTTTGCCCTGCAGTCCTGCTATTCTTATTTCCAGGCCAATAGAAGAATGTAAGAAACCCCTCTCATTTTGTAGCAAGAAAAGACAAGAGAGAGAATCACCATCAGGGAAGTCAGTTCGATTATCAACAAGAGTGGAGAAAGAATATTTAAAACCCTCTTATACTGCAAGCATTGGAGAAGAGCTCGAAGATGGTCTGTTTGATGGTAATAATGATAAGTAGTTGCTGTGCTCAGTTGCTATGGTAGTTTGCATAGTATTTGGTTTATAAGTCTGTACCACTTTTGCTGATCTAACAATGGCATTTGTATTCTTGAAAGACTGTCATTTTTGCTTCCGTTGTTGAATCCATTGCAGATTTTCTTGAGCTAGCTCTTCAGTTTGGGATGATCATGATGTTTGCTTGCGCCTTTCCATTGATATTCTGCTTTGCTGCTCTGGTATGTGGTTACGACGACAGTTTACAGTCATGTACTCATGCTTGATATGCTTAGTTGCACATGTTTTAATTCTTAAAAAAACCATCTTCATGACAGAACAATGCAACTGAAATAAGAGCGGACGCATTGAAGTTGTTAGTCATGTTGAAAAGACCTGTTCCCCGTGCTGCAGCTACAATTGGAGCGTGGTTGAACATATTCCAGGTTCATTAACACTACTGTTTTGCACTACTGCTAACGGCACATGCACGTCTTGATGTTCATTGTAATATTACTCTTTTCAGTTCCTGATCGTAATGGCAATCTGCACCAACTGCTTGCTTCTTGTTTGTCTATATGATGAGGAGGGTAAATGGCGGATTGAGCCAGGACTCGCGGCAATCCTTATAATGGAGCATGCTCTCCTCTTAGTCAAGTTTGGCTTCTCGCACTTTGTCCCTGAGGTGATTTTCTTCACCGTTATGCTTTGTGCATATGTAGTGGTATTTATATCAATGCCTTTGTTTGCGGCACAAATTTATCTTAGAAACTGAATGTGGGCTTTTCCTCTTTTTGTTCAATTAGGAGCCTGCATGGGTGAGAGCAAATCGAGTGCGGTATGTAGCTCAGGCACAGACTGTCTGCTCTCAACAACTATTGAGGAGCATTTCAAAACTTGATAGGAAATGGGAGTGAGGAGCATTACCACCTTCAGTATTTAGAAGGCAAAGCTAGTTTTGTAAACTAGGATAGAGCAGAGATTTGTCAATCTCGTGTAGGCAGTGTAGAAATTTTAGTGCTCTAATTACTGACGTCCTGGTGTTGCTAGCTGTTCCCATTGGTAAATGTATATATTGCTACGAGATAATTTATAGGAGATTGGGTGGGGGCATGTTGCCCATCATTGTGAAGATGTTACGGGTGGTTTCCTTGCAAGCGAGATACATCTGTGGTGTGAGTATTATTTTGAGGACCATGGTTCACAACAGTGCAAAATTAGCCCGCCAATTTGCTGAGGAAAAAAGACCGTGCTTGCTGCTGTTTATTGTTATTCACAGGTACTACTCCCTCCGTTTTGTACTAAATCAGCGACATTTATTTTGGGGAGTATCATATTTGCTGCCCAAATTTTATTCTATTTGTTAAGAATGGGACTATGGGAGAGACATACTCCCTCAGTTCCTAAATATTTGTCTTTCTAGATATTTTAACAAGTGACTACATACGGAGCAAAATAAGTGAATCTACACTCTAAAATATGTCTATATACATCCGTGTGTGGTAATCCATTTAAAATGTCTAGAAAGACAAATATTTAGAAACGGATGGAGTAGATCAGAGTACATACAACGAACTAATGAATGAATTAATGAAATCTTCAGCAGCATCTTGTCGGCCGTCGCCTGTGAAGTGCCATCAGCTGTCCAGTCCAAGCCGAATCATCTTTCGTCTCCCGCGTTCCGGTGCTCCGACGAGCCGTCGCTCTTCTCAGGCCAGGCGCCGAAGCTCAGCTGGCGCAGCAGCGCCCCGACCGCCTTGGCCCATCGCTGGATTTCGCCCTTGAGCTTGTCAGGTTCTATGTCTGCGAACGCACCGGCGGCAAGGCCAGACAAGAGGCGGTCATACCGCGCACCGCTGGACGACGATTTCGGCAAGCCGGCGCTCGCGTCCTCGGCGTACTTCTGGCCGACTGACATGCCCTCGGGGTCTTGGGTTCTTCGGTGAAATTGTGGATTATAGGTGGGAGTCGGGTTTTATACCGTTACGGGTAGAGATGTGGGTGTCCCGCACGGCTTGTGAAGAGTGGGTTTGGCTCCATGGTTCCTTCCAAGATGCCCCAAGGTTTCGCGTCCAAGGAATCGACTTACAATACGGCGTGGATTTTGACTGTTAAATTGTTCCGTGGCGTTAAATTTCCTTGGATGCCCACGGAATGCTTGAACCAACCAATTCAAAGGTTGAAAGAAGAAACCGTGTAGCATGATCGACAGAAGAAAAAGTAAAATACAAATTCAAGTTGCATACTTAAGTTACCACGCATAATACCCAGTTGATATAAGTTTAGCACTTCAACGAGCACATCCCTCCCTAATAATAATAAATCATGAATTGACTTTGTCGGATTCACCGTCACAATACACTTCTTTTCGTGAATTTACGCTTTCAGTTTTTCCACCTATATTATTTTCTACATCCGAGGTGGTACTATTCATATGATCATGTGGCCCGCCACACACCACTGTTCTGTCCGGAGCGATGCCACCCATGAGTTTTTGGTACGTACGTTTACTAATCCGGTTTTCTGTTTTTAGTTAACTAGCAAAAGAGCCCGTGCGTTGCAACGGGAGAGAAAACATAACACACGCTCTTAACTCAACAATCATCACTCAAGATCATAATAGGCCCATCTCCTTTATTTTTGCGAGGCATCATATTTGTGTTGCCGCTTATCCTTCTTCTCACCCTCGCCGGCGATGGCCTCGGTGTTCACACAAAACAACAAAAAACGTGTGTTGAATATGATTAATCGTAAGCGTCTCTCTCTCCCTCTCTCCTCCCTCCCTCCCTCTCTCTCTCTCTCTCGCGCGCGCGCGATAAGAAATCTGTTGTTTTCCCCTGCGACATTTTTCAGAGGTATGCATGTGTAGTTATCGATGTTTTCTTTTCCCTATATGGTTATAGTGGGATATTTATTTGCAATATGGATCGCCGCCGGTATGAAAAAAACGGATCTTGCGCTATAAATTATAAGTTTGCTTCAATAACAATATTTTAAAAATACATTTGCTTTATTATTAGGTAATTAATTATAAGCTGCCATCTATTACATATATACCTGCGAAAAATAATTCTATTAATTAACCCGCCATCTATTCTATAATAGCAAAAAGTAATTTGTCCTGAGATTCGAACTTACACAACCTTCCGTTCTTAAGCTACAACAACAACCAGTTGAGCTGGCACCCAAGTTTCAATATAAAACTGGGTTAGCTCTTAATAATCTTGGTTCGAAAGCTGGCCAAATATTCTGGCCCACCCAGCCGAACGTAGCCTGATGGAGTGAGAATACGGAGACAGGCCCAATTACCCTGGCCCTCTGTGCCGAACGAAGCAAGGTTAATTCCAATCGATACATGCATGCTTTTAATAATTAGATAAAGTTAGCTTGGGTGTTGAATAATCCCACCTCATTCTGTTAGGTTGAGTTGTCTTATATACGTTCCCAAGTTAGCTGAAATATCACAAAGCCAACTGGGAATCAACAAGCAGCCCTGAGAGCCGATGGGAGAAGACGATGCAGTACCATTGAACAGGCTTGGCGAGGCAAAGAGTAAAGCTTGTTGAGGGGCGAGGGACGCGGGCGACGAGAGGAGAACAAGTGGAGGCCGGGAGGTGCAAGAGCGCTAGGGGGGCGCAGCTGGGCGAGTCCGTTCATGGCCGGAGGCGCACGCAGCTCGCGCCAGGTGCACAACGGGAGAGGAGGAGCACCGAGGTGCAGCGAGGAAGAGCGAGTCCAACGGCGGTCAGGTGGTTCAGCACGCGAAGGGGCGCAGCTTGGCAACGGCCGCCATGGCCGAAGGCGCACAGCTCGACCATGGTAGCGCATGATGCACAGCGGGAGGAGGCGCACACAGAGGTGCGGCGAGGAAGAGAGCGAGTGGGAACCAAGGTGGTTCGCCGGCCGGTCATCGGGTGCAACCTCGAGGCCATGCAGCGAGGCGCTTGGGGCACATCACCCCGGGTCAAGAGACAGAGACCCCAAGAATTGGGAGGCGGTAGGGTTAAAGTGGGAGGAGGCTGCCGCTGGGGTTTGCTAAGGAAAAATGGCATGCAAACTGGGTTGCTGCTGCTATACGAGTTGGGCAAAAAAACACAGGGAAGAGAGAGCGGTGTTTAAGAATTATAAAATCTTGCCTAAAAGAAGAATTTGAAAATCAATTGGGTTTAAAGAAACTTGAAACTATTTTTTTGGCCTTTTGGGGTTGTGCCAACTCCACATGAATTATCCAAAGTGGAACTTATATTTACATTGCTACAAATATAATTCCAAATATTTAATTAAGAAGTTCAAATTAAGAGTGGGTTATGCTTAATTCGAAATGGATGGGATTGTTATTTTTAGCTCCCTAATATTTTTGGGGGGCTATGTTCATGAGTAATAAAAAGAACCACCATGTGAATTCCCTCAATTTAGATAGATCAAAGATCCATAAAATTACTTATTTGAATTTCATTTGGTTGGTTAATTTAATAAAATTCAAGTGAGGGTTTTTTTAAAAACCTCAATTCAAATCAAAGTAAATAACATGAAACAAACATTAGACTCCCTCGGTACCAAATTACTCGTCGCAGAAATGAGTGTATCTAACTAAAATACATCTAGATACATCCATAGCTGCGACAAGTAATTCGGAACGGAGGGAGTAGTTTAGTAGATGTAGTACTGATGCAACAAAAGCCTAAGATGCTTAGACATGTTGCACTTGAAAAATGTAAAGTATCAGTGATAAGAAAACTTCAAGGGAAAGGCCTGATTGACTCAGTCCTTATACACGTTGTTCCGAACGAAGCCAAGCCGGGCCGTCACACAAAGTTAGTAACCGTGTGATTTTCCTAAATTTTCAACAGCGGTAATGGTGTCTTAGTAAATAAAATAGGCATGCTTAACAGAATGCAAGGACGTTAGTGGTGATATGATAAACCGATCAGCTTTGTGCACATGCTCATAATAGAAATACCGTTAAGTTGTGCACACGCATCAGCAGCACTCAAACTCCAAGCAATTCAGCAAAAACAATTAATGTGGAAAGCCAATAATTGTGAAAATGATTTCAAGAGGCTTCACAACATAGTCATGGGTACAGATATAGAACCTACTGAGAAAACTTGTGCCAGTATGCGGAGCACACCATTCATCATATTCAATCTCCATACTCTTAGAACAAATCTAAAAAGCTGGAAACATAAACCAACAGATCCACAAAACAAGCTCATTGGCCCCTCAGTGCTTACTGCCTGTTCTTCTTCTTGACACCGGACTTGGCAACCTGGAGGCTGCGGTAAACAGCGCTCAGTCTTGCAAGAGCAGGCTTGGTCAAGTCAGGCCTGTAGTAGTTGTCACTGACCTGGAAAGCAAGAAGAATAACAATTAGATTAAGAAAACAAATGAAGGTGACATGGTTTAACAGGAAGACATCTTAAGCAGCATTTCTCCTCTATTTGTAACCACCAAAGGTAGGAAGCATTGATGTTTATGTTCATTATCAACTAGTACCATAGAAAACCAAGTACAGACAGGCAGGGGCAGTTTACAAGACATGCATACTGCTCAGAAAATTCCAATCTTTACTGGATATAAAACCTTTTTCCACATTAAGGCTCAGAACAGGTCGGAAGTGAAAGTTCACATACTAGATACAACCAAATTGAGAGTAAATATGTATTCTTAGAACATTAGTGTCAGTTTATTGATTAAAAGTATTACATCTGCAGATTTCATAACACAGTCCCTACAGATGATTAGAAATCAGACTAAACTAAGAAGCCAATCACAACAGTTACATTTCACCTACGAGGACCGAAACACTGAAATGGTTGTTACAGGTTATATTTCCAATACCAGTTGTCATCTAGAGTACTTAATCTAGACCATCCAGCATCACAACTTTCATCATAAAAGAACGATATGGTTGTTCTGATGCTAATACCTGGTTCTTGATAGCCTTGGCCATCTTGCGGAACTCCTTGCGCATGACAGTCTTGTGGGTGAAGGCAGCAGGCTTGTTCTGCTTCTTTGACTTGGTTGTGGAGAGGACCACGGTCATCTCCTTATCAGCAGCTGGCTGCACAGTCACAGTCTTCTTGTTTGCCAGGCCTGAAAAATCACACCAAACACCAAACCTTCAGTCAGTGGACGAAGGGACATCCATAGCATTCGAAATTCAACCAATCGGGGGAGGGCAATAACCACTGACCAGAGTACTTGTAGGAGTGGACATTGTAGAGGTTGTTGGGCTCCTTGCTGAACTGGACCTTGGCATTGCTGTTGCCGAACTGCTTGATCAGGAAGCAGTTGTTCTTCCTGACGAGCTCCCAGACCAGAGAATCCGAAACCGTCGCCATTTATCCTAACCTAGAAAACTTCACATATCAACCACTGAATATGAAGCCGATCATAAATCTAGAATACTATCGCCATATCAACGACCCCAACAGACGCCAGATTTCTTGCACCTAGCTAATCTAGAGAACTATCGGACGAGATACAGCTGAGCAGACGAACATATACTGATCTGAAAATAAATCAGCTGACTGGTTTCTAGCAAATCAACTACGCCGTACAAACGATTCGAGCAGTATGGCATATACGATGCGAGAGCATACCAAGGAACGCTAGAGATTTCACCCGTTAACCTAAATCGCTAGCGCCTCAAATCACGAATGGGTCGGGACTGCGGGGGCAAATTGAACAATTGGGAGCTTATAGAGTGGCCTCGCAGGCGCGGAGACTGTGGAAAGGAGGGAAAGGTTTCTTCTCACCGGTGATTGGAGTGACGCGCCGCCGATCTGCTTCGTCCCGGTGTTCGTCGTGTGTGGCGGCTGCGGTAGCGGGGCGAGTTTTGGGGGCGAGCTTTTATAGTACTGCGGCGCTCGTAAACCCTAGGCCCGGCTGGCTGCTTTTTGGGCTGGATTGGAGTGGGCTGAGCTGTTCTCCTGGGCATACAGCTGATTCTATACTTTCGTTATATATAAAAAAGCTTATTCTATGTTTTTCTCTCTAAAAAAGAAGCTGACTCTTTTTTTTATCAGAAAAAGAAGCTGATTCTATAAAAGAGGGCCTAAAATAAATCTGAATCTATATTTCTATTTCTCCCCCTAAAAATCTGATTCTATTCATGGAAAAGGTAGCTACATTAAACTCCTAAAGAAAGGTACAGAAACAACAGTTCTGTAAAAATAAATAAAAAATGTTCCTAAAATTCAAAAAAGAAAAACAGAATCTACAATGGCACTAAGAAACTGTACCAAAGTCAGTATTGGAAGAAAAAATGCAGTGTTGTTCTAGGATTGTATCTATTTATAAACATAACCGACTGTTCCCGACTGTTCTTTGACCAAATAAAATCAAATCAGGTTTGGACAGAAATGCTTTCCTATGAACCAACATGTGGTTGGATTATTAGGGTAGTTGTACCCCGAGCACACCAATGATCAAACACACAGTTTTGACCTTTCACTAGGCGGAATGTTTTTTCGCCATAGGTGACATTTTCGTTCGATGGCGAGGCATACATGGTGATTTCATGAATCATGATGCTCCCCAAACCTAATCTTCAGTAGACTCTGTGTGAGTGGGCATGTGCGGTGAAGTGTATGTGTGTTTACGTTCTACTTAGTGTTTCTTATAAAGACTGTGCCAAGCTGCCCATATAGATAGCCTCCAGATGGGGATTGGATTTTCACGCTTATTTTCATGGATGTGGGTTTGAGTTTTGAAAGATCATATGATTTGTTTGAACCTGCAACTATCAAAATTTTGTTGGATATTACACGAATGGAAATGATTCAAATCACCTGACCAACAAACAACGCCTACGTCCGTCGGCTTCGTGGCCGCCGGATCGATTTTAATCCAATGGTTCGGGAGTAACGTATTATCTAGACCAGTTTTTGCAACTGAGCAGTTGTTGCAATTCCCTCACCGCAATAAGAGATATGTTGTGGGATCTGAATCTGGATCCTCTCGTGCTCTCCCGAACTCCCTGTCAAGCCGAGGCCTTCATGCGTTGCTCCAACCACCGCCACCGCTGCTCGCCGCCAGCAACACGCAGACGAGGCCACCGATGAGCTCACCTCTCCCCGTCTCCCCATGTCCGCTCGCGACCAGTGGCCATGGATGCTCGAGCGCGCACGGCGGAGCTCTGCTCCGGCCACCATTGTCGATCTATGACGCTCCGGCCCCATGCTTCATCGCCTCCACCACCACCATCATCGCATATGCAACACCCTCCTCCCTTCCCCAACAAGACCGAGCTTCTGCTCGAGGCCATGACCGCAATCAATGCAACACGGTGACTTTCTGCAACAAAACATTTGTTGCAAGAAGATATTTGTTTCAAAAAAAATCTCAAAACTATTCTGCAACGAGACATTTGTTGCAAAAAAACTACAACATAACCTTTGTTATAAAAAAAATTCTGCAACAAGACATGTGTTGCAAAAGGGTTCTCGCAACACGACTTCTGTTGCAAAGGTGACAACGACACTTGACGCGAAGATAGCGTCAGACTGGACGGCTCGTAGACCGGCAGATCTTTCAAAAAGATTCATCAGCCAACGTGTAGCACGACCCTTACACGAATATCCAAAGTGTGGGTAATAGCAATAACATCTGTTGGCCCATGCGAAAAAATAGAGATGAAAATAAGCCAAGGATGACTTAATAAACAATACCAAATAAAATCCTCTGTTTCTAAATACAGGTCCTTTTAGATTTTTCAATATAGACAACGTACCAAACAAAATGAGTGAATCTACGTGTGCGCCATACGTACCGCCTACGAATAATAGGTAGCCCCACTGTCGGTGTCAAAACCGGCGGATCTCGGGTAAGGGGTCCCGAACTGTGCGTCTAAAGCGGATGGTAACAAGAGGCAGGAGACATAATATTTTACCCAGGTTCGGGCCCTCTTGATGGAGGTAAAACCCTAGGTCCTGCTTGATTGATATTGATGATATGAGTATTACAAGAGTTGATCTACCACGAGATCGTAGAGGCTAAACCCTAGAAGCTAGCCTATGGTATGATTGTTGTTGTATATGATCTATCGACTAGCCTGGCCTCGGTTTATATAATGCACCAGAGGCCTAGGATAACAAGAGTCCTAGCCGAATACGCCGGTGGGAGGAGTCCTTGTCTTGATCGCCAAGTCTTGTGGAATCTTCCTTGTATACGGTAGCTGTCCGAACTGACCCATGAGTATACGGCCATGGGGGTCCTCGGCCCAATCTAACAGATCGGGAGATGACGTGGTGAGTACCCCCTAGTCCAGGACACTGTCAGTAGCCCCCTGAACCGGTCTTCAAGTTAGGGACGCTCCTTGGTTCTTCCGAACTGTTCTTCATCTTCGGTCGTCGGTCTTGAAAACTGGTTCAGCAAATCTTCTCATCTTCGATCTTGAGGATCGCCGAAATGCATTCGACGAGTTTACACGTCGGGTATCCGAGGAGCACCTTTAAGTTTCCGGCCTTTATCAATGCCTCTTTATTTTTATGCCACACCTCGGGTTTGAAATTGTTCCCGGGCGGCAGCATCCTCTTGCGTCCGAGCTCCAACGCCGGACTGCATTCGAGGTATCTTTTGCAGCCGAGCACCAATGCTGGACCGCTTCCCAGCTCTAACGCCGGAATGTATCCGAGTTCCAACGCTGGACTATGTATCCGAGCTCCAATGCCGGACAGTATCTGAGCTCCAACGCCGGACTATGTATTCGAGCTCCAACGTCAGACTGTATCTGAGGTGTCGTAAATCACCTTGGTTCAAAGAAGTTTGAAGGAGTTTAGACGAGCTTAATGCCGGAAATGCCCTCTATGAAGCCAGCCACTAGCGCCCAAGCTTTATGCCGGACTGCTTCCGAGGTGGTGCACCACCCCGAATGTGGGCCGATTTTTGTCAATATTTTTGATTGGTGCAATTTATTCTCTGCCGAGATATATAGCCAGTAGCCCTCAAGGTGGGTATCGGTCTAAAACCCGAGATGCACATGAAGGATGACATAAGACCGCTGATCCCAGTAGCCGCTGAGACTCAGGTTGATTTGCAAAATCGGTCTGAGGATCAAGTCCTAGCTCGGCAGAATACTTCGGGACACAAAAAACGGCGTGCTCAGTCCTCGAGACTCAGGTTGGGTGCGGCCGACCAACCTGAGGATCAAAATCTCCTCGGAAACTGTATTACACTTAAAATTTTCTGCATTGGACAGGCAATGCAGTAGCCCCCGAGACACTGGTCGGGTGGCAACACCAAATCAGGGGATCGATGTGCCCCTTTAATATTTGTAAATAATAAGCCCGAAGCCCAGTAGCCCCAAGCCTTAATGCGGGCACGGGTGGCCGAATTAAGGATTGATATCCATAGTAAAATCACAAATTATGTGTAACGACTCTATGTATCCAAGTACTTTACGTCATTAATGCTCGGATCCGCATTGTACAAAACTTTATTGACCGACCATCGGCTTCCACCTCCTCGGCCAATAGTCGAGGAGTGTTTGTCCTACTTTATAAATCCTTTATGAGGGCAAAGATTTACAACAAACAAGGCAATCTGGCCATACGGTTTTATAAACAAAGGTACGCAGAGAGATATGTTATATTACTGTTTAACAGAAGAAATGTCTTCCAAAGAAAATAGTCCCGCTATCGGTTCTTTTCTTTGGGTTGTCATGCTAAGCATGATCATGAAACCTCAGCTCCAATGTAAGAGCAAAATATCAAGGATTTAGTTTGGGAGGCCAGTTAATAGACCCCGATAGTGTTCGACAATAGTCGAGGTCAAGCCGTAAACACTTCGGCCATTGTTATGAATGGCCCGTCATTTAACACCATCATTGGATCGCTGACCAGTTTACGCTTATTGTGACAGTCAGTTTTCGGCTTTCTCCACTGAGGTGCTTAACCATGTGAGCTGGAAGCACAATCGCAGTGGTTCTCCCTTTGCACACCTAGCCGAACAAAGCGGAACGTAGGAGGCAAGCGCAGGAGCCGGGCAACCCAACTATTGATCGAAGACACAATTCGAAACCGATGCATATATAGCAATATCCGAGAATGTTTTTGCCGAATCTCTAAAGGTGTCCGGCGTTGCACTGCGAGACTTGTGCTGAAAATACACAAATAGTCTAAAAGTGCCACAAGCTTGGAAAACCAAAAAACGTCAGTAAAAACTTGACGTCCGAACAAGATCAAGTGTTCGGTGCCAATCCGAAAATTGGCCTTAGAAAAAAAAAGTGCTTCTGTCGTGCTTTAACATGACACATCCTATCTCAAGACTTCAAGCGGGTCAGCCTATGGCTTCAACCTCCTATCCCGAAGGCAGAGTACTTCTTGTTAGGCCAGCTTAG